GAGGTCCACTTTGGGCATCTTGAAGCTGGGCATCTGCACCTTTGGCATGTGCCCTTTGAGGCCGGCTCCCTCGGGCACATGGCCCTCTGGGAGCTTCACATCCACCTGGCCAGCCTGGACCTCCAGGTCAGCAGAAGGAGACTGAATGCTGAGTTCAGTGGTCTTCAGGTCGCCCTGCATGGAGGGGAGGCCCACCTTGGCCTCCATCTTTGGCGCAGACACGTCCAGTGAGGCCTCGATGGACTTGCCTGGGGCTGACACCCCGAATGATGGCATCTTGAACTTGGGCATCTTGAACTTGCTGTCTTTGGCCATGGCCACATCCTTGTCAGCCAGGGACAGGTCACCCTCCAGCCGTGCGCTGTCTACCTTGGCTCCCATGGCCTGGACATTCACCTCCACGCTGGGCAGAGACACCACCACGTCGGGTGCCGTGGGGGCCATCACTTCTGCCTTAGTGCCTTTTAGGTCCAGCTTGGGGCCCTTGACATCCACCTGGGGGCCCTCGAGGTCCACTTTGGGCATCTTGAAGCTGGGCATCTGCACCTTGGGCATGTCCCCTTTGAGGCCGGCTCCCTCAGAGACATGGCCCTCCAGGACCTTCAGGTCCACCTGGCCAGTCTGGACCTCCAGGGTGGTGCAAGGGGGCTGAATGCTGAGGTCTGTGGTCTTGAGGTCCCCCTGCATGGAGGGGAGGCTCACCTCAGCCTCCATCTTTGGTGCAGACACGTCCACCGAGGTCTCGATGGACTTGTCTGGGGCTGACACCCCAAATGATGGCATCTTGAACTTGGGCATCTTGAACTTGCTGTCTTTGGTGGTGGCTATGTCCTTGTCGGCCAGGGACAGGTCCCCCTCCAGCTGCACACCGTCCAGCTTGGCTCTCATGGCCTGGACATCCACCTCCACGCTGGGCAGAGACACTTCCATGTCGGGGGCCGTCACCTCCACCTTGGGGCTTTTTAGGTCCAGCTTGGGGCACTTGATGTCACCCTGGGGGCCCTTGAGGTCCACTTTTGGCATCTTGAAGCTGGGCATCTGCACCTTGGGTAGGTGCCCTTTGAGGCCGGCTCCCTCAGACACGTGGCTCTCCGGGAGCTTCACATCCACCTGGCCAGCCTGGACCTCCTGGTCAGCAGAAGGAGGCTGAATGCTGAGGTCAGCGGTCTTGAGGTCGCCCTGTATGGAGGGGAGGCCCACCTCAGCCTCCACCTTCGGCACAGACATGTCCACTGAGGCCTCGATGGACTTGCCTGTGGCCGACACCCCGAACGACGGCATCTTGAACTTGGGCATCTTGAACTTACTGTCTTTGGCAGCGGCCACGTCCTTGTCTTTCAGAATTTTTTCCGTTTTTAAGCGTTGTTGGTCATGTTTTAGTTGTTGTATTTTTGTTTTGTTCATCAGTGAGTCCCCGTCGTCTTTTTCTTTGAGGCCTGCCTCTGTGCCTGTCAATTCTCTTCTGGCATCTGTCGCTATTCCGTCTCCTGTTCTTCCCTGCTCTAGGTCCTGTGTGGTTTTTTCTCTCCCTGTCTTTGTTTCCTTACTTGGCGACCATCCAAAAGAGGGTATCTTGAATTTGGGCATTCTCATCTTTCCTTCTGTGTCTTCCCCATCTTTCTCCTGTCCCTGAGTGATTCCTGTCCTCTGTAGTCCTTCCTGTCTGTCTCCTGCACCCTGTTGTGCTTCCATATGTGCGGGGGGTTCCCTCCCCGGCACCCACCCTGCTCCTTGCACCTCCTCACCCTTCGGGCCGGTACCCTCTTTTGAGGGCAAGTCCTGTCTCTTTCCTCTCTGTGCTGCACTAAGCTGTCTTTCTCTTTCTGGCTCTTTTTCTGTGGAAAATGCAAATTTTGGCATCTTTAAATCGTGTATTCGCACCCTAATTTCAGGTGGGCCACTCTGGGTGTCTCCTTGAGTTTTGTCTCTCAAGGACATTCTGGCAATCCCAATCTCCAGGCTCTGCAGACCCTCACCTTCACCCTCCTCACTTATTTCAGGAGTTTGCTGGGTTCTGGGCTTCCTCTGGGTCACTGCTGCCTCTTGTGCCTGCCCCTCCAGGGTCTTTCTGTGGCGCCTGGCTGCCCTGGGTGCCCCTTCCTCAGGGGTTTCCTTGCAAATGGTAGGGTCACCGAGCTCTGTGGGCCACTCCGCAGGCGTCACTTCTCGATCCTGTTCTGCTCTCTTCTCTCTCCTGCTGCCTGTGACAGCCCCAGCATCCTCAAGGCTATCACCCCAGGGTCCCAACTCTTCCAGGATCCCAGCATGGCCCACCCCACTCTGGGACTCCCTGCCTGACTGCCCTGTCACTGAAGGGCCCTCTCCGGAGCCTGTCCTGAATCTCAGGTTGAGAAACTTCCGCCTCCTCTGGCTGCCTGGCCCTGCCTTCTGCTCTTGGTGCTCCACCACGAGCTGGGCCTCTGTGTCTGTGCTTGTGGGGGACACGTCATGTGTGTCCCTGCGCTCGTAGGCCTCTGAGGAGCTGTGTGACCTCTGGGGCCCTGGCCCCCGCTTGCTCTTTATGGACTGAAATTTTGGCCAAGAGAGCCTCTCCCTCTGGGGCCGCCTGCCTCTCCCCACCCTAGGTTTGGAGATGAGTCTCTCTTGGTCCCCATCTGTTTCCAGAATTTTCGTAGGGGTCTCTCTGCACCCATCAGCAACATCCATGTCCTGAAACACAGGGAGAGGGAATCTGTTGGTGACAGTCCAAGAAGCCGGAGGCCCTGGCCCAGGGACAGATGGGGTGGGAGTGCTATCCCCTCCCAGGCTCAGCCAGCAGGGTAGTAAAGACAGTTGGGGCCCTACCTCATGGGCATGGTGGCCTCACCTCCTTCTCCTTGCCCTGTGGGCCATGCTGGGCATCGCTGGAAGCCCACTCTTCGTCCTGTGGGGCAGGGAGCTGCCGTCTGATTTTGAACTGAACCCTGTATGGCTCTGAGTACTGTAGGATCTTGAGAGCATCTTCGTATTTTATATTGTCGAAGAACACGGTTGCACTGAGCAGCTGATCTCCTAGACCAAGAAAGAGCAGCCCCAGGCCAGGTGTGTGAATGAGATGGGGTCCGCTGTCTTGCTTTGGCCAGGGAGAAGGGCCCCAGGGGCATGAATAGGGGAGATCCCACTGAGTCTCCCCCATCAGTTCCCCACTGAGTGCCTCAGGCACAGGGAAGGTACATGGGGTCCTCCCTTTTACCAGATGCAGTGGGTGATCCCAGCCTCAAGTGGCTGAGCAGAGACATGAGGGGGTCATCTTAAGCTGCAGGTGTGGCTCCTATCCCCTTAATGTCCCCCTCCAGGTCCCTCCCATCCTGGTGGGGAGAATAGGGACTCCAAAGATGGAAATGCCATAGCACCTTCTCTCAAGTTGAAAAGCTTGGCGGCTGAGGAGTCCTTTAGTACTTGCTTGACAAAGATCCCCTGGTCCCCACCGCCTGTGACACTGTAGCCACTGGCTCCCGTCTCCACCTCTGTCTTCAGTATCACCTCTGTTGCCTCCTGCACAGACTGGAACAGAAGCACATCATGGCCATGGTGAGCATATGCCAGTCCCACCATAGGCATCCCTGATGGGGCCTGTGTCTCCCAAGGACAGGTACCCCACCATCCTGCCCATCAGCCTGGACAACACAGAGCAGGGTGGGGCACCCCCCAGGTGGGCTTCAGTAGCTGTGTCTGAGCTCTGGAGGAGGCCAGCCACAGCCTACCAGGATTCTTGTCCCCACCCCAAACTGCCAGGACTTAGGCACAGCCTGTCCATGCCACCAGGCCCAGCAAGGCACCAGGAGCAGGGAGGAAGGGCTCCTGCTTTTTCTGTGGCCAAAGGTTCCCTTTTTCAGCTTCTTCATGCATTCATCATAAACACACAAAGCACCGATTGTGTACAAGGCACTGGTGCTCAAGCCAAGGAAGAACAGCAATGCCAAGGAAAACACAGGACATTGGGTGCAGCCTGCTGGACCTGGGACAGGATGGGGCCTGTGTCCTGCAGAGCTCTTGGACTTCTGGGGCCTCCAAGGATAAAACCCATTGCTTTAGAGGCAGAGTGCCCTCATCATTGGGTGCTAGCAGAGTCTGGCATATGGCTACATGGCCTGGGAGCTGCCTGGCCCCTTCCAGCCCCACAGCTTGAATATGCAACAGACATCATTGTACAGAGGAGAAAACTGAGGTCTGCACAGCCAGGTCTACCTGGCCAGGAACTTGGCTGTGCATCAAACTCCACACCAGGAAGGGGTGGAGGGGAGGGTCAGGACAAGATTCAGCCTTCTGGAGACCCTGCCCTTCCCCAGGCCTGACAAGGGGGACAAGAACACCCCTCCCCAAGGTACAGGGCACACTGCCAGCCTCCTTCCTCCTCCCCTGCCTGCTCTGAACTCAGACTCCCTGGCTGGATCCCTTGTGGACAGACACACCTCTGTGACCCTCAGCTCCTGCTATACCCACCTCTGGACGACTCATCCTGAAAAATGTCCGTGAGTCCCCTGAATCCCGCTTCCACCAGGATCTCCGTCTCCCAGAGGAACCTTGCCTGCCGGGGGCGTCTTCCTGCAGCCACAAGTGTTGGGAGTTAGGCACCAGCCCCAGCTCAGGGACAGGGAGGGGCACAGGTGGGCTGGCACCAGACCAGGAGCCCTCCCTTCAAAGAGGCCCAGAACCTCCAACATGCAGCTGTGTTCAGAGGGAGCCGAGTTCCTCCAGGCACATCCACAGAGAAAAGGCAACTGTTAGCCTTCCTGCTTCCTGATAGGGCCCAGCCTACAGCCCACAGCTCCCACAGGAAGAAGCCCCACAGCAACTGGAGTTTTATATGGAGGGAGATAAGAAATTCAAATACAAAAATGAATCCTTTCCTAGACCTGCCTCCTCTGATCCCTTCCCCGAGTCCTCGTCTCCAGAGGTAGCCATGGGGCTACCCAAAAGACAGCATGAGTGTGTTACACACACCCTGTGCCCCTGAAACAGATTCATGAAGTCTGTTCCCCATCAGCCCACACGCATGCTCACAAGAACTGCAGGGCACCTCCATCCCACTGTGTCGTGGCAGGGAGGGACCCCCAGGGCACAGAGGAGTCTGAGAGGACATCTGAGTAGGCACAGGTGTGATGCAGTGGGCAGCAGGTCAGGACAGCAGAGCTGCATAGACATGTGTGAGTTGCCCACACAGGACAATGCAGGAGGAGACCTGGGTGCCTGTGGGGCTCTGCCCAGTAGGCTCACCTGGAGTCCAAAGTCAGCAGCCTCAGTCGAGTATTCGTAGACAGGTGAAGACCCCTGTGGCCGTGGTCGAATGACCTCATCCGCAGGCCCTTCAGTCACCTGATGGGAGGGAATCCAGTTACCTCCGCCACTTGGTTCTCCCAGGGCCCAGGGAGAATGGAGGTGGGGTATGAGGAGGACACATTTCCTCCTGCTCTCACTTACAGAGTGGTCATCTTCTGTTTCTGCATCTGGCTCCCCAGGCTGCAGCTGTCGGCCGGACACTGAAGAGAGAGTGGCTGTCAGTGGAAACAAGCAGGCTAGGGGAGCAGATGGGGGCCTGGGGGAGGGAGTATACGTGCACTGTGAAGGTGGCATAGTCCTGTCCTGCACACTGGATCCGAGAGCAAATTCAGGGGCCCGGGGAAGATCTATAGCCACTGGGCTGGAGAGGCTGAGGCATCAGGTGAGGTAGCAGTGAATTGAGACTGGACTTATTCCAAGTTGGAACAGATTTAGTCCAAGAAAGTTACTAAACAAACACGAGGTGTCTGTTATTGTATAACCACACCCTGGGAGGGTCAGAAGCCAGAGTTCCTAGAATATGTTGTCTAAAATGTCCAGCAGCCAGCAAAAAATTTCAAATCACACAAAGAAACAAGAATGTATGATCCATGCTGAGAAGCAAACCAGTGAATGGAAAGTGTCTCTAAAGGTCCACCAGTTTTGGGTTTAATACAGACTTCAAAGGAACTATTAAAAATTTGTTCAAAACACACACACAAAATCATGTTTTAAAAATTAATGGAAAATATGTTAACAATGGCTCAGTGAAGAGAGAATCCCATAAAGAAATAGAACTTATTTTTTAAAAGGCAAGCAAAAATCCTGGAGTTGAAAATTTACAAAAAAAAAAAAAAAAAAAAAAAAAAAAAGAAAATTTACTACTGGGGTTCACCAACAGAATTGAGATACTAGAAGAATTATCAGCTTGTAGATTAATATAAATTAACCAATTTGAAAAGCAGGGGTCGGGGGAAGGTTGAATGAAGAAAATCAAACAGCCTCAGAGATCTGTGGAGCATTAGCCATAGATAAAGAGGCAGAAGAGAGAGCCGAGGTGATGGCTGAAAACAATCTACAGAATCCAAAAGCTCGACCAAACCTAAGCAGGAGAAAAACAGAGATCCACACCCAGACACATCATAGTCAAAATGCCTAAGAGAAAGGGACCCATCACATAATAAGGGCACAAAAATACGACTAACACCTGAATCACTTCAAAACCATAGATGCTAGAATAAAGTGGAACGATATATTCAAAGGGCTGAAAGAAAGTGTTGTCAGTGAAGAATTTGATATCAAGCAACCTATCTCTCAAAAATAAAGGCAAAATAGTCTGGGCATGATGGCTTATGCCTGTAATCCCAGCACTCTGGGAGACTGAGGTGGGAGGATTGATTGAGCCCAGAAATTCAAGACCAGCCTGAGCAATATAGTAAGATCTCTACCAATTCCTTTTTTTAATTAGTGGGGCATGGTGGTGCATGCCCATAGTCCCAGCTGCTCAGGAGGCTGACAGGAAGACAGCTTAAGCCTGAGAGGTTGAGGCTACAGCAAGCTGTGATTGCACCACTTCGCTCCAGCCAGGCAGAGCAAGACTCTGTCTCAGAAAAGTAAAAATTTAAATTAAAAAAAAGCAAAATTAAGGCATTCCCAAATGAACAAAGAAGACTTGGAAATGTCATTGCTAGCAAATCTGCCTTACAGGAAATACTAAAGAAGTCCTTTAGACTTAAAGGAACTGATACTAGACACTAACTCCATGCACATAAGAAATGAAGAATGCCGAAAATGGCAAATATGTAGGTAAATATAAAAGACTCTATGAATATATATTATCCTCATTTTATTTCTTAACTTATTTTAAAGACATAGGATTGTGGCCAAGCACAGTGGCTCACACCTGTAATCCCAACAGTTTGGGAGGCCGAGGTGGGTGGATCACCTGAGGTCGGGAGTTTGAGACCAGCCTGCCTAACATGGTGAAACCCTGTCTACTAAATACAAAAAATCAGCCGGGCGTGGTGGCGGGTGCCTGTAATCCCAGCTACTTGGGGGGCTGAGGCAGGAGAATCGCTTCAACCCAGGAGGTGGAGGTTTTAATGAGCCAAGATTGTGCCACTGCATTCCAGCCTGGGCAGCCAGAGTGAAAACTCTGTCTCAAAAGAAAAAAAAAAAAAAAGTAGGATTGTACAAAGCTAGGATTGACAAACTTTTCTTGCAAAAGACCATGTAGTAAATACTTTAAGCTTAGCAGATCACATGATCTCTGTTATAGCTCTGCAGCTATAGTATAGAAGGAGCTATAGATGATAGACAATATGTAAATGAATGAGCATAACTCTTTCAATGGAACTTATAAAGCATAAAGGAGGCTGGATTTGGAAGACAGGAAATAGTCTGTGAACCACTTACACAAGGCAACAATTCTAACACCATACTGTTGGAATTATAACGTATATAGATGTGACCATACTAGTAAAACGGAGTGGGAGAAGAGGGCATACAGCTAGCCCTTCATATCTGTGGGCTCTGTATCCTGAGTTCAATGAACCTTGGGTCAAAAATATTCTCCCAAATTGCATCTGTACTGAACAAGTACAGACTTTTTTAATTGTCATTTTTCCCTAAATAATATAGTGTGCCAACTATTTACAAAGCATTGAAATTGTATTAGGTATTACAAGTAATCTAGAGATGATTTAAAGTATAGGGGAGGGTATATGTAGGTTATTTGCAAACACTACATCGTTTTATAGAAGGCACTTGAGCACCCATGAATTTTGGATGCAAGGGGGGTCCTGGAAGCAGTCCCCCATGGATGCTAAGAGACAGCTGTATCTTGGATCAAAGTTTCTATATTTACCAGAATTAAGCTGGCATTGCTTGGGGCTATGAGTGGAAGGGGAGATTTATTGTAAATGGGGTTGAGAAAATTTGGGAGGTGATGAAAGTGCTCCAGAGCTAGATTGTGGTGATGTTTGCACAACTCTATAAGGTTAGCAAAATGATTGAATTGTTCATATACAATGGGCAGGTTTTATGGTTTATAAATTATACCTTAATGAAACTGTAAAAGAAAAGGTAATTAACTGTATAAAACAAAAATTAAGTCAGGCATGGTGGCTCACACCTGTAATCCCAGCACTTTGGGAGGCTGAGGCGGGCAGATCACTTGACGCCAGAAGTTCAAGAGCAGCCTGGCCAACATGGTGAAACTCTGTCTCTACTAAAAATACAAAAATTAGCCAGGCGTGGTGGTGAACACCTGTAGTCCCAGCTACTCAAGAAGCTGAGGCAGGAGAATCACTTGAACCCAGGAGGCAGAGGTTGCAGTGAGCTGAGATCATTCCACTGCACTCCAGCCTCAGCAACAGAGCAAGACTCTGTGGCCAAAAAAATAATAATACATGAAATAAAATGTATTTTAGACATTTACAAATGCAGAAGTAACCCACATAACAGGGTGGGGATGGAGCACAAAAGCAGCTGTTGTAAAGATACCTGAAGTAGGACAGTCTTACTTGAAGTTACACCGTAATTAGTTAAATATTCAGAGTATAAATCATAAAGCAACCATTAAAAAAGCAGAAAGGTGTATAGGTGATAAGCCAATAGTGGTACTAAACTGGAATACTAATGATGGCAAGGCCCAGACCCCTGGCCTGTGGAACTAAATATGGAATACTAAATAGTGGAACTAAATAAATAATAGTGGAACTCAACTGGAATACTAAGCTACTGCTCAGGTGGCCAGGTCCAGATCCCTGGCCTCCATGACCCCCCAGGAGAGCCACAACCTCCGTTTCCTCCACCCGCCAAGCCAGCCTTGGGTGCAGTGCCTCCTGCCTATAATCCCAACACTTTAGGAGACTGAAGCAGGAGGATCACTTGAGGCCAGGAGTTTTAGACCAGCCTGGGCAACACAGTGAGACCTCATCTCTAGAAAATATTTAAAAATTAGCCATGCATGGTGGTACACATCTGTTGTCCCAGCTACTCAGGAGGCCGAGGTGGGAGGATTGCTTGAGCCAGGAGGTTGAGGCTGCAGTGGGCCGAGATCATGTCACTGCACTCCAGCCTGGGTGACAGAGCAAGACCCTGTCTCAAACACCAAACAAACAAAAAATATCTAGATTTCTTTTTTAAAACACTGAAGTAAAAACTGGCAAAACTGAAAGGAAAAATAAACCACAATTATTATACAATAGGAGATTTTAACACTCTCAGGAAATGATAGCCTTACAAAGTAGAATAGGGGAAGACACAGAACACTTGAAGCGCCCATCAACCAACGAGACCAAATTGGCACTCGGAGAAACTCCTGACAGCAGCCGGTGCGTGCTACTCTCAGGTGCACAGGGGACAATCACTGAGACAGACCCCAGGCTGGCTCAGAAACCTGTCTCAACAAATTTAAAATCGTTTCAATCATACTAGGTCTCTTCTCTGACCAATGGAATCAAGACAGTGTGGCAGAAACACAAATCAGTACACAGAAAACAAAGTCCAGAACGGGTCCACACTTTACAGGGCCAATTAATTCTGTTTTGTTTGTTTGTTTTGTTTTGAGACAGTGTCTCATTCTGCTGCTCACGATGGAATGCAGTGGCACAATCTCAGTTCACTGCAACCTCTGCCTCCTAGGTTCCGCGTTTCTTGTGCCTCAGCCTCCCAAGTAGCTTGGATTACAGGCATGTGCCATCATGTCTGGCTAATTTTTTTTTTGTACTTTTAGTAGAGATGGGGTTTCACCATGTTGCCCAGGCCGATCTTTCTTGAACCCCTAACCTCAAGTTATCCACCCACCGTGGCCTCCCGAAGTGCTGGGATTACAGGTGTGAGCCGTCATGCCCAGCCAAATTCCTGTAAAAGCAGCCCAGTTGTTCTAATAGAAAGCAAAGTCACCAAATGGTCCTGGAACAGCTTGTTATTTATTGGGAAACCAATAAACCTGGACCCTTCCATCCCATCACTCATGAAAATGAATTTGAAATGAATCATAGAGGTAAATGTAAAACGTAAAACTATAAAACTTCTAGAAGAAAACAGAAGAGACCGTCTTTACCATATTGAGGTCAGCAAAGTTTTCTTAGGATACAGAAGATACGAATCATAAAAGGAAAACTGATCAATCAAAGTTGTCCTAATTTAAAACAATGGTCTTAACAGCTTTCATTTTCCTCAGAAAATGAAAAGGCAATGAATGTATCTGATGAAG